CTTAAAAATCCCAAAAAATCCCCAAAAAATCCTTAAAAATCCCCCAAAAAATCCCTAAAAAATCCCCTTAAAAAATCCCCTTAAAAATCCCCAAAAATCCCCTTAAAAATCCCCCCAAAAAATCCCTAAAAGTCCCCTTTAAAAAATCCCTTAAAAATCCCAAAAAAATTCCAAAAAATCCTCTAAAAAATCCCTAAAATTCCCCTCAAAAACCCACTAAAAAATCCCAAAAAATCCCCCAAAAATCCCTAAAAATCCCCAAAAAATCCCCTAAAAAAATCCATAAAAATTCCTCAAAAATTCCCAAAAAATCCCTCCCAAAAAAATCCTTAAAAATCCCCCCAAAAACCCCAAAAACTCCCCTTAAAAAATCCCCAAAAATCCCAAAAAATCCCCTTAAAAATCTCCTTTAAAAATCCAAAAAAATCCCTGAAAACCCCCCAAAAAAACCCTTAAAAATCCCCTTTAAAAATCCCAAAAAAATCCACTTTAAAAATCCCCCAAAAATCCTAAAAAATTCCCTTAAAAAAATTCCAGAAAATTCCCATAAAAAATCCCCCAAAAACCCTAAAAATTCCCCCAAAACTCCCTAAAAATCGTCTTGAAAAATCCCTAAAAATCTCCCCAAAAAATCCCTTTAAAAATCCCCAAAAATCCCTAAAAATCCCCCCAAAAATTCCAAAAAAATCTCTAAAAATCCCCTTAAAAATTTTCTAAAAATCGACAAAAAACCCTCAAAAAATCCCAAAAACTGCCCTCAAAAAATCCCCCAAAAAATCCCTAAAAATCCCCCCAAAAAACCATTAAAAAAATCCTTAAAAAAATCCCCAAACGCCCTCCCCAAAAATCCTCAAAAAGATCCTAAAAAAATCCCTAAAACTAAATAAAAAAATCCCCCCAAAATCCTTAAAAAATCTCTAAAAAACCCCTTAAAAAAAAACCCTTTAAAAATCCCTAAAAATCCCCAAAACCCCCCCAAACCCCAGTAAATTGTGGGCGTGGTCCCCGCCTCAGTGGGCGTGTCCAGTTACTCACGTGGTACGGCCCGAGGGGGCGTGGCCAGCGCCAGGTGCCGGAGGGGCGGGGCCGGGGCCAACGTCAATTTGCTGCCCTGGAGCTGCAACGTCATCGCGGGGGGCGGGGCCACGGCGGCGGCGGGGGGCGGAGCCACAGGAGGGGGCGGAGCCGAGGAAGAGGGTTTAGCCCCGCCCACTGCTGGAGGGGGCGGGGCTCGCTGGGCCAAGGCGGCCAATTGGGAGAGGCTGACGAGTTCTCCGGCTGAGGGGGAGGGGAAACGCCCAAAATTAGGGGTCACCCAAAGGTCACCGGGGTCACACAAAGGTCACGGGGTCACACAGGGGTCACGGGGTCACCCAGGGGTCATCACCCCCCAAAGTGGCCCCAAAGTCAGGGGAGGGGGGAGGAGAAAAAGCCCCAAAATTAGGGGTCATCCGGGGGTCATCGGGGTCACCCAAAGGTCATCGGGGTCACCCAGGGGTCATCACCCACCCCAAGAGTCCCCAAGTGTCCCCAAGGTGCCACCACCCCCCCCAAAAAGTGTCCCTAAGGGTCCCTTTGGTGTCCCCGAGACGTTTTTTTGGGGCCATTTCGGGTTTTTTTGGGGTTTTGAGGCCATTTTTGGGTTTTTTGGGGGTGTTTGGGGCCAATTTTGGTTGGTTTTGGGGTGGTTTTGGGCTACTTTGGGCTATTTTGGGGGGTTTTGGGGGTGTTTCGGGCCATTTTTTGAGGTTTTGGGGGGGTTTGGGTGGATTTCGGAGGTTTTCCGGAGCGTTTTTGAGGTTTTTTGGGCTGTTTTTATGGCTGTTTTTTATGGGGGTTTTGGGCCAATTTGGGGGGTTTTGGGGCCATTTTTGGGGCGTTTTGGCGCCTCTTTTTGGGGTTTTTGGGTGGGGTTTTCGGGTTTTTTTGCGCTATTTTTTGGGGTGTTTTGAGGCCATTTTTGGGTGTTTTTTGGGTGGTTTTGGTGCCATTTTTGGGGTGTTTAGAGGCCATTTTTGCGTGTTTTTTGGGTGGTTTTGGGGCCATTTTTGGGTGTTGTTTGGGCCATTTTTGGGTGTTTTTTGGGGTGTTTTTGGGGCCATTTTTGGGTGTTTTTTTGGGGTGTTTTTGAGGCCATTTTTGGGTGTTTTTTGGGGTGTTTTTGGGGCCATTTTTGGGGTTGTTTGGGGCCATTTTTGGGTGTTTTTTGGGGTGTTTTTGGGGCCATTTTTGGGTGTTTTTTTGGGGTGTTTAGAGGCCATTTTTGGGTGTTTTTTGGGTGGTTTTGGGGCCATTTTTGGGGTTGTTTGGGGCCATTTTTGGGTGTTTTTGGGGCCATTTTTGGGTGGTTTTTTGGGGTGTTTTTGGGGCCATTTTTGGGTGTTTTTTGGGTGGTTTTGGGGCCATTTTTGGGGTGTTTAGAGGCCATTTTTGGGTGTTTTTGGGGGCCATTTTTGGGGTTGTTTAGGGCCATTTTTGGGTGTTTTTTGGGGCCATTTTTGGGTGGTTTTTAGGTGGTTTTGGGGCCATTTTTGGGGTTGTTTGGGGCCATTTTTGGGTGGTTTTGGGGTATTTTAGGTGTGTTTTACTCACATGGGAGCCGGGCCTGCATCTCCGGCGCCAGGAGGAGCCTTTGGGGGCCCCCGAGGGCGAAGGCGGCCAAGGGAGGCCCCGCCCCCGGCCCCGCCCCCTGCACGGGCCCCGCCCCCTTGCCCAGGGCGGGGCCCGGAGGGGCGGGGCTGGGCGAGGGAGGGGGCGTGGCCAAGGAGGCGGCGGGAAGAGCTGGGAAGGGGAAAAAAGGGGAGGGGTCAGGACACGCCCACTTGGACACGCCCATATTAGATATCTGCATCAGGGACACGCCCACATTAGATATGCACATCAAGGACACGCCCACTAGGACACACCCACCTGGACATGTCTATTGGGACACGCCCACCGGGGACACGCCCACTTGGACACGCCCATATTAGATATGTCCCTCAGGGACACGCCCACTTGGGACACACCCACTGGGACACACCCACTTGGACACGCCCATTGGGACACGCCCATATTGGACACGCCTCCTGAGACACACCCATCAGGGACACACCCACCAAGGACACGCCCCTGGGACACGCCCACATTGGATTTGCTCATTAGGGACACACCCACATTGGACACACCCACTTAGGACACACCCACTGGGACATGCCCACATTGGACACGCCCACATTAGATATGTCCATAAGGGACCCGCCTACTTGGACACGCCCATTAGGGCACACCCACCAGGGACACGCACACCAGGGACACGCCCACTGGGACATGCCCACATTGGACACGCCCATTTGGACACATCAATTGGGTCACACCCACTCGGGACACGCCCATTTGGGACACAACCATTAGGCCACACCCACTTGGGACACGCCCACTGGGACACACCCACTTTAGATAAGTCCATCAGGGATGCACCCATTGGACACGCCCACCAGGGACACGCCCACTTTGACCCATGGAAAGGTCACGCCTACTGAGATGTGGCCATGGCCACAAAAGTGAGACCACGCCCACCTGGACGAGGCCACACCCACTTATATGTGTGGCCACGCCCATTTGGGGCCCCTCAAGCCCCTCCCACCCATCCCCAAGCCCCACCCACCCCTTCATAATCCCCTCCCTTTCATCTCAAGCTCCTCCCACTCCTTCCCAAGCCCCTCCCACTCCTCCATAAGCCCCTCCCACCCCTACCCAAGCTCCTCCCACCCCTCCCCAAGCCCCTCCCACTCCTCCATAAGCCCCTCCCACCCCTCCTTTGGCCCCTCCCTTACCGGCGGTGGGCGGGGCCAGCAGGGTGGGCGCGGCCCTGGGCGGCGCCGCCAGAGCCAATCCCAGCCCCAGGTTGAGCCCCGCCCCCTGTGACGTCACCAGAGGGGCGTGGCCGGCCACGGCGGCCACGGTGGGCGTGGCTTGGGCGTGGGGGGCGTGGCCCAGCGTCACCAGGGGCGGGGCCACCAGCAGAGGGGCGTGGCCTGGAGCAGCAGGGGCAGGAGGGGCGGGGCCGGCGGTGGCCACGCCCCCC